GGGGGTATTTATAGCCCCAAGTGCTGACATGTATCTGCACATGTAAGCCTCTCATTGGCCCACGTGGTGCTGCCCACGTGGGTATGTCTCCTCCTCTTGGACCTGTGGGTGCGTAGCTGGGCCTGCTGTATGTGGCCCTAAGAGGGCATTGGGCCTAATCCCAACATTACTCCCCCCTCGGTGTTCGGTTGACGAACTAGGTTGGGAGTCTTGTTAGCACGGTCTTTGACCCTGAGGATGAGGAGTGATGTTTTATGTTCATGTCCGCCCTCGCGCACGACCGATCTAGGCGGCCTGAAGCCATCACGGCCAAGTCTGTTGTGCATGTGTATGCCGGCTTCCTATCGAGCAGGCGTGGGGGAGCTGGTGTTAAAACCAAGCGAGCTCGGTGCCTATGTTTTGGGCCATAGCTGAGGTAAAAATGCATGACACAGAGTCATGTGTTATAGCTGTAGCTGAAGTGAAATAAATGACTCGGGGTCACTATGGCCGAAGCCGAAGTGAAGCATGTGACACTGGGTCACTGTGGTCTGAGCCGAAGTAAAAAGTGTGACGCTAGGTCACTATGGCCGGAGCCGAAGTAAAATATGTGACTCGGGGTCACTATGGCCAGAACCGAAGTAGAACTAGTGACTTGGTGTCACAATGGCCGGAGTTGAGGTAAATAATGATGACCGGAGCCATAGCGGCCAGAGCCGAGGCATTATGACCTAGAGCCAGGAAACTGAGGTGACGACCTGAAACCAGGAAACTCAAGAGTGACGACCTGGAAGTATGAAGCTCAGTAGTGACGACCTGGAACCAGGAAGCTCAGGAGTGACGACCTGAAACCAGGAAGCTCGGTAGTGACGTGCTGGAAGCAGGAAACTTCGGAGTGACGACCTGAAACCAGGAAGCTCGGGAGTGACGACCTGGAAGCAGGAAGCTCAGAAGTGACGATTTATGTTTGTGGATGACCTGACACATGGCCGACCTGAGCGGCTTGAAGGCGTCCTACCTGGCCGAATGTGCAAGTGTATGTCGGCTTTTTGCCAAGCAGGCGTGCGGAATTGATGTCAACGCTAGTCAGGCTCGAAGTCGATCAGCGGGTTGGGCTGATGTGCAGGGGTGACCTTACATAATGAATTCTCTGCGACAGGGCGGGGGCGAGCAGACAGCGGACGAGTCGAACGCTCCGCCCTTAGATGGGCAGAGAGTAGCGACCACACTCTTCGCTTCAACATAGATCTCTGGGATACAGGGGTGCTTTGAGGAAGTTGGTTACAGCTTAGCCACTGAGGTAAATTCATGATTTGTGCGGCCTGACCTCCAGGGATTTTCTAACTTTGGGATCTCTGAAGAGATCTTTGATTAGTAACGAGCTGATCTCTCGAGATTTTCGTATTTTGAATTGCGGTAGATCTGAGAGGAGGTCGCAGATTTGTTGCGAGCTGATCCTTTAGACTTTTCAAAATTTTGAACTATGATTTGTTACGCGCTGATCATCGAAATTTGTCACGATCTGACCCTACGGATTTTTCAACGACTGTGGTGAATCTCTAAGGAGATTTGCTCAGGCGTTTGAGAAATTTGCCATAGTTCAAATTTGTAGCGAGCTGATCATTGACGTTTGTCGCGATCTGATCCATCAGATTTTTCAACGACTTTGGCGGATCTCTGAGGAGATTTGCTTAGGCGTTTGGTATTCTTCTGCTTTTATCAGATACCCTTTTGCCTTCCCGCAATAAATGCTGGCTCGGCATTTGAGGGGACGTGACGGCTGCAGACGGCGCATTTTGGGTTTTTAACCATAAATGATTGCCACATGGACATGCTTTACTGGGGGGCGTAAACACACGTACGGTGCTTACGGAGCACCATCTGAACGGCCAAAACAAACAAACAATTTGTCATTTCTTTTCATTTCATTGCCAAGCACCATCAACATTCGTACGTTTTTCAGAGGATATTGCAGAGACCTTCACAGCCATTTTTCTAGACTTGCAGCGAAAGCACTTTAGCCTTCAACTACTCAGGTAAAAATGGCTTCTTTTCACGATGCACAAGGATTCCGGGGTAACCAAGGTGAAGAGGAAGATGTTGACGTGATATCCGTGGAGCCTATCGCGATGATAGTGCCGCCGGAGTTGCAGGATTCGCCCAGAACCGCCGCGCCGGAGAGTAGCGCCAGTTCAAGCGTGGGTGGTGGTTCTGAGAGCCACCAACCTTCAACTTCCAGTGATTCGCCCACGGAAAAGGCACCTAGTGAGGCGGAGGGCGTGGAGGAGGTTGGTTGCAGCGCAACGGTGACAAGTGCAGCAGCGGAGGTGGTAGTGCTCGAAGGGTGGGAGAGTAAAGTTCTCAGTGGAAGGCTGGACAACCTTCGCAAGGCTCCCAAAACCCTGCCGGCTGGCTTCAAATTCAGGGCGGTGCTTCACCACGAGGTCGCAGATGGCGCGGCCACAGTGAAGGGGTATAAGAAGCTAGAGGAGATGGTGAGGCGATTCCAGATCCCCAGGACCATCCTGATCCGAGCTGGGACACCAAATGAACGGGCGTGTTCAGTGTCACGGACGGGCTGGGTGCCAGTATACGTAGACCATTTTGACGTCGGTCTATGTTTTCCTCTGCCCGGACTAATTTTTGATGTCCTGGCAGAGTACGAGCTGGCCCTTTCGCAACTTACTCCCAACAGCATAAAGTTCATCGTGGGCTTTATGCTATTGTGTGAAAGGCTGGGGATGCCTGCGAAGGCGGTGGTCTTCAGGTCGCTCTTCCTCTGCCGTTTGTGCCCGTCCAGAAGTGGGACGAGGTGGTATTACGTGTCGGGCAGGGAGAAGATGTTGATCTTCACTAACATCAGAAACAAGGTAGCGAGGTGGAAAAGACAGTTCGTGTTTGTGCGGGACACGCGAACTGACAGGATGAACAACGAGCTCGCGGCCCGTCTGTCAGAGTGGCGTACGCCGAACACATATATGAACTATCCCCAGCTAACCAGTGGTGATGTCGACTTGAAGAACCGGCTGCTCGACTATGTGGTGGCGAGGGGGCTGGTGGATTTGGAAACCTTGGTTATCCCGGAACAGATCGCCATTCATGGATTTGTTGACGTGGCAAATCTACACTCTCAAGGTATATTTTTATATAATAGTATAGTTTCTAGCCGATCTGAGTCTTATGCTTTTGTTTGTGCAGGAGTCATGAGCAGCATCCTTGAGCGACAACGTCAGCGAGCTCAAGGCTCAAGGGGCCGGGGCGCTGGATCTAGTTCCCAGCGCCAATCCCGCTTTGATGAGCGGCCACCTGCTGCGCCGGGGCGCAACTCCCAGCATAGGGGTTCCAGCTCGTCACATAGGTCGCGTGACGAGCAGAGGAGGGAGCCTGCGCCTCCCATCCCCAGAAGGCGCACGAGGGAAGAGTCTGACGCGGAGGATGACATCCCTCTCATCTAGCGGAGGACAAATGCAGGCTCGCAGCCTGCTCCAACTGTCACTGCGCGACCTGCTAGCGTGCCCCAAGCATCTGCTCGGAAGGTTACTGAGGCCTCACCAACCTCGACGTCTGTGGGGGGCCCAAGGATCGCATACCCGGACGGCTTCAGTTACGCCCTGACTGAGTGTCAGACTGCTATGCTGCAAGGTATGCAAAACTTCGTGCCCCCTGGAGAACGGCTGCGTGCAAAGGGGCACGTCCAGCAGCATGGAGGACATGCTGCGCTAATAAAGTTGATGGATGTAAGTATACTTGGTGAGCTCGGTATTATGTTTTACCTTGATTTTATTATAGACTGACGATTGAACCTGTATTGCAGGCGTTCAGCTACACTGTCGCACTCTTCGAGTGCGAGTAGGGAGCCAGGGCGCAGAACAGCGAGCTGCAACACAACTGCAAGCAGTTGGCATCTGAGAAGGCTAGCTTGGCTGATGAAGTTAGCCGCTTGCAGAGCTCGGAGATGGCCAACCGGGCGGCGTCAGCTGAAAGCTGGGCTGACGAGCTGGCTCGCAAAGTCACTGAGCTGAGGGAGGAGCTAGACCGAGCTCGGGCCGAGAAGGAAAGCGGCATTCAAGCTGCGAAGGATGAGGACGGCCGTGCAGAGGACTGGGCCAGAAAGGCGGAAGCTGAGAAAGAGAGAACTCTGCACGAGCTTAGCGGCCTGAGGGAGAGGGTCTCACTCGCGAATCAACATGTCGCCCAGGCTGAGGCGTCCTTGGAGAGGACTAAAAGACTTCACCAGCGCGACGTCTGCTTTGCCCGTGCACAGGGGGCTGAGTGGCTGGTGGGGGCAGAGATGTTCCAAGATGCCGTAGCTGTGGCTGCAGCCAACACCACCACTGACATCTTCAATGAAGTTCGTGGGAAGGTGTTGGGAGTCCGGGCAGGCTTCCCCATTGGCGAGCTGGCCTTCTTCGAGGGCGAGGAGATCGATGCTAACAGGAGGAGCCTCACCTAGCCAGCTGACACCAGGGTAAAATTGAGGTGGGAGCTCAACAAGGAGGGGCTGCCCGTTTGGCCCCCCTCTGTCGTCGAGGAAGGAGAGGACACGGAGGGGTTGCCGAGCTTTGATGCTTAGGTGGCAGACCCCCATGATGTGCCTGCTGAGCCTTCCAGCACTCCTCCCTGTGCTCCGCTTCAGCACGTCTCGGCTGCTGCTCCAGCTCCAGCTGCCCTTTCTCCAGTTCCGCCTCATGTTCACTCTTCCCCATATCGGTCATCTCCGGTTCGATCTGCTGCTACGCTAAATGACGCATCCACCCCCGTCGATCTGACGGATGAGTAGTTTAGGATCTTTTGCTTTGCTTTGTTTTTTGTAGTTCTTCTTGTCTTTTGTGTTAATCGAATATTTGTACAAGAATATTCATGAAATACAACTCCAATATTTGTTTTTGAAATTGCTGTGTAATGTTCTTGTATTTTTGTGCAAATCGATGAAGTTATTTGCAATATGTACTCCATATGTAGAATTCATTGATCAAATGCAACTTTGGAAATTTCTGTATTGAATTTTCTGTAAATCATCATCTACAAATGACCCATAACGACCTGAGCATTTGTGACATACATGCTAACTATAAAACTTTCTAAGGTTATGTATGTTCCAAATGAATGGTATTGGACGACCTTGTATATCTGCTAATTGGTAACACCCAGGTCGTTTAACACGAACAACTATATAAGGACCTTCCCAATTAAGAGCGAGCTTGCCCATGTGCGAATGAGCGTTGGTTAGCCCTGCTTTGCGTAGGACCAAATCGCCGACTTGAAACTGGCGGGCGCGAACTCTCTTATTATAAAATTTTGCCACCTGACTCTGGTGCGCCATATTTCTCATTCTAGACATCTCCCTGACCTCTTCCACGAGGTCCAAGTTCTCCCTTAATAGTTGCTCATTATTACCATCGTCGTGCCGACCCGCTCTATCAGAGGGCAACCCGACTTCGACGGGGATAACGGCCTCAGCTCCATATGCCAGGCTGAATGGGGTTTTGCCTGTGGCCGAGCTGGGTGTCGTCCGACATGACCAAAGTACTTTATTGAGCTCGTCAACCCAATTAGAACGCGTGGCTATAACACGCGCCTTAAGACCTCGCAAGACGATCTTATTGGCAGACTCAGCCTGCCCGTTTGATTGCGGAGTATACACAGACGTCAAGGAGAGCTCAATGCCATAGTCGCTGCAGAACGATCTTAGTGCTGCTGCTCGGAACTGTGGACCATTATCGGCGACAATCCGCTTAGGTACGCCGAACCTACACACAGATGACCGAGCTGAGCTAGGGACTATGTTTGCATATATTTTATTTATGACCTAATCCACCAAAGAATACCTGCACAATATTGAATTGAACAAGAATTCTTCTATTTTCCTTTCTGTTGTTGTGGATAATGGTTTAGCTTCTATCCATTTAGTGAAGTAATCCACTGCAACGACCAGGAAAGTGCAGCCTCCTTTGCCTTTGACGCAAGGGCCAAGCAGGTCGACACCCCACTGAGCAAAGGGCCAGGGAGACGTAAGAGATGATAGCATTTCCCCTGGCATGTGTATATCATCAGCATTAAACTGGCAGGTCGGACATTTTTTAACATAGTTCAGCGCGTCCTCGACCATAGTGGGCCAGTAATACCCATGCCTCAAGAGTTTCCGAGCTCAAGTTTTGCCACGGATGTGTGTGCCACATACTCCTTCATGAACTTCCCTCACTGCGTATTCAGCTTCGTAAGGAGTAAGGTAGCGTAATAGGGGCATTGAGGCTGCTCGTTTGTAGAGCTGGTTATCTAACAAAGTGAAATGTGCCGCCCTGCGTTTAACCAATCTTGCAGCAGACTGATCTTCAGGTAGCTGGCCACTTTGTAGATAATTTATGAGCGGGGTGGTCCAGCTCGGTGTAGAGGGATCTATACTTAACAGTTGACACTCGACTGTTGAATCAGTGTAGCTCGGTGCGTCGAGTATCTCAACAATTGTTGATCTCCGAGGGTTAATATCCTGGGAGGAGGCCAACTTTGACAGCTCGTCAGCTCGGTGGTTATCTGTTCTTGGTATTTTATCAATTCGGAAAAGGACAAATGTCGACTTCAACCTGTTGACCACAGAGGCATAACGACTGAGTTGAGGATCCCTGATTTCACAACTGCCTTTTACCTGGCCTACTACGAGCTGAGAGTCGCTGAAGACTTGGATGTTCTGTACCTTCAGCTCGGATGCCAGCTTCAACCCATAAATGAGGGCTTCATATTCTGCAGCATTGTTAGTTGCCTGAAACTTAAACCTCAATGCATGCTCAGACTGAAAACCATCTGGGCCCACTAGCACAGCACCTGCACCCGCTCCTTCATCGTTCGCAACTCCATCAACATACAAAACCCAGATTGGTTGTTCGGGTGCGTTTTCTTCTGTATTTGCCGAGATGCACTCCACCAGAAAGTCTGCAATGGCCTGCCCTTTTATGGTTGTGCGCGGCTGAAATGTGAGGTCATATTCACTCAGCTCGACGCTCCAGCCAATGAGCCGACCAGAGAGTTCAGGTTTCTGCAGTATTTTTCTCAACGACAAATCGGTATAGACAACAATCTGATGCGATTGGAAGTAAGCTCTCAACTTACGAGCCGTGTAAACTAAGGCAAAAGCAGCCTTTTCTGCCAGTGGATAGTTCTGCTCGGCGCCTTGTAAGACCTTGCTCACATAACAGATAGGCTTCTGATTCTTATTCTCTTCCTTGAGTAAGATCGAGCTAATCGCCTCTGCTGTAATCCCCAAATACAGATACAAACTCTCCCCTTCCACAGGCTTGGACAGCAGGGGTGCTGACGCTAGGTATCTTTTGAGCTCGTCAAAGGCTCGCTGACAGATATCAGTCCACTGAAAGTTCTTGGGCTCTCGCAGGACCTTGAAGAATGGAAGGCATCTTTCTACCGACCTGGCTATAAACCTGTGTAGCGCAGCAACACGACCTGTCAGGCGCTGCACGTCCTTTACAGTTTTGGGAGGCTCCATCTGTTGAACGGCCAGGACCTTTTCCGGGTTCACTTCAATTCCTTTCTTGGATACAACGTACCCTAGGAATTTTCCTAATTCTACAGCGAACGTGCACTTCAGGGGATTCAGCTTCATCTGGGCTCGGCGTAAGTTTTCAAAGGTCTCATTCAAGTCGTCTATATGATCCTCAGCTCGTGCACTGGTGACTATCATGTCATCCACATACACTTCTATGTTCCTGCCAATCTGCAGCTTGAAGATGATTTGTACTAGCTTCTGATATGTAGCGCCAGCGTTTTTCAACCCAAAGGGCATCATGACGTAGCAGTAGATCGCATCACCAGCATAGAAAGCTGTTTTTTCCTGGTCATCTAGCAGTAACTGAACCTGGTGATATCCTGAGCTAGCGTCAAGGAAACTCATCCGCTCATGCCCGGCTGCTCGCTCTACTAGCTTCTCAACATTTGGCAAGGGGTGAGGGTCTTTTGGGCACGCATCATTGAGGTTGGTGAAATCAATACACATCCTCCATTTGCCATTTGGCTTTTTGACGAGCACAGGGTTGGACACCCATTCAGAGTACTCCACTCTTCTGATGAAGCCTGCCTGTAACAACTTTTGTATCTCTTCGTCAATGGCAGCTTGCTTCTCAGGGCCAAAAAGGCGGCGTTTTTGAACCACCGGCCTTCTGGTGGGGTCCGTGCTGAGCTTGTGGACTGTCAATTCTGCTGGGATGCCAGGCATTTCATCTGTAGTCCACGCGAACACATCTTGATTGACCCTCAAAAATTCCAGGAGTTCTGTTCGCTCTTCTTTTGTGAGCCTAGTGCCGATCTTGACTGTTCTTTCTGGCACATTAGGGTTTAAAGGAACGGTATCTACTGCCTCTACTAGCTCTGCTTTCTGCTCGACACCCTCAGGTCTGTGCTTAATGTCCGATATGCTCATTATTTGTTGGCCGGGCCGAGTCGGCCTTCTACTCTCAGAGACGCTCGGGGCTTCAGCGAGCTCAACTTTCTTAAATGTATCTTGGTAACATGCCCTTGCCATCTTCTGATTCCCCTTCAGCACACCTACCCCCTGGGGCATTGGGAATTTCATGCAGAGATGGGGTTGTGAGATAACAGCCTTCAGCTCGCAAAGGGTGGCTCTTCCCAGTATAGCATTAAAAGCGGACTCCATTTTGACGACCAGGAAGGTAACAGAAGCCATCCTAAACAGTGGTTCTGAGCCTACGTAGATCGGAAGGGTGATAACTCCTTCTACCGGGACAGGCTGATTATTGAACCCATAAATGGGCCCTTCATATTTTTGCAACGAGCTTGGATTCAACTGCATCTTTTGGAAGCAGCTTCAATAAAGGATATCAGGCGAGCTGCCCGTATCAATAAAGACCTTGTTGACGTTATGGTTGCCTATGTGGACTGTTGCGACAAATGGATCTGCGTGGGGCATCATAACGTCGGGCTCTCCGTCTGCTCGCTTATAATCTACCGGACTGAATGTGATAGCTACATTCTCCCATTCCGCCTCCTCGAACGGCCGCTTCAAAGGCCTGTTTTTGTTGACCGTCATCACCTGACGAGCGTATGCTTTGCGAGCCCGGGCAGTATGGCCCCCTGAGTGCATTCCACCAGAGATCATATTAATTGTGCCAGATGGAGGGGGTATTCCTCCATACCCAACCCCTCCGTGATCTTTTGGATTCTGTGCATGTGGTTTCTGTCCTTGTCCACGCTTATTGAACGAGCGTCCCCTATATACTCTGTTCAGCTCGGATGGGTATGGGCCTACCTAATAAGAATTTGGATTATTACCGAGCTGATATCCAGTTGCTTGAGGTCGGCCGTACTCTTGTACAAAGTGGGTCTGGGTGGGTTGCCGAACAAAAGGCTTCTGTATATACCCCTCTAATTTTCCATTGCGAGCCAAGAATTCGAGCTCGTCCTTTAGACTCTGACAGTCTTCTGTGTTATGGCCGTAGACACGGTGATAGTCGCAGTATTTGCTTCTGTCAGCTCGTGAAGAATCATGCGTTTGTGGAGGGGGTCTCTTGACCCAATGCTGTATCTGCGACAATATCTGGGATCGTGACGAGCTTAGGGGTATATAGCTGTCATATTTTGGATAAGAGGGTGGTTTCCCTCTCTGCTCGCCAACCTTCTGTTTCTTCTTGTCATCTCTGTTTTCAGATTGCTTGGGTTCTTTTCCGTGCCTGTCATCAGCTCGTCTCTTAGAAGATTGAAAATCTTCGGACAATATGAAGCTCGCCGACCTGTCATTTACTTCGTTCCAAGTCCTAGGTGGGTTCTCTAGCAGGTCGTTTAGGAACCGACCACGCTTCAAGCCATGCAACAATGCAGACAGACAGATGGTGTCTAGGACATTGTCAATGTCCAGAGTGGCTTTATTGAATCGCTGCATGTAGTCTCTCAGAGATTCTCCTTCCTTTTGATTAACTTGCATCAGCTCGGTCGCTGTGCGTTTGATCTCCCTCTAGCTCGCAAGTTTGTTGGAGAATAGCTTGGCGAGCTGAGAATATGAGTCTATAGAATGCCTGGGGAGCTTGTGATACCATCTTCTGGCTGTTGATTTCAGTGTCGCTGGGAACACTTTGCACATCATGGCATCATTGGCATTTTGTATTCTCATGATGGCTTGATAGGTATGCAAATGTTCATCAGGGTCACCTGAGCCATCATATGTCTCCAGGTGGGGAATTTTGAATCCCTCTTGATACGGTTCTGCTGTGATGGATAGGTTTAGAGGAGCGCTGTCCAAATCAAGGGTCTGCTGGTGTGACCTGGGACTTTTCAGCTCGTCTATGGATTTTTGTACATCCCTTAGTTGCCTTTCGAGGTCTGCATTCTTCCTCAATAGTTCTTCGCTGTGTTTGGACGAGCTAGGCTCGTTGTTCAGCTTCCCACTTCCTCTTGGCCTGGTCGGCACCACGATGTTACTTAGAGCAGGGGAGTTTCGAGTAGCAACAACCGCAGCTGGTTGTGCATCTCTGTTCAGCAAGGGAATCAAGGGGTCATCAGGAATTAAACGGGCAAGGATTTTACCCATTGCCATTTCGAGAACTCTAGTTCTCTCTTCGAGCTCGGTCGTCTGAGCAGGTTCTGTTGACCTTTCAGGTCGTTCACGCTGTGAATTGTACGGTCTGGCAGATCTTTGTCTTGTTCCTGTTGGAACTTGGAACTGTTCAGGCTGGGTTGCATACCCAGTCGGTGTTCTTTCATCATCTGTCTCACTTAGGTGGTCCTGTTCGGCTCCCCCTACAAAAAGGTTTCTTGGCATTGGTCTAAAGTCATTCAGGCCGGGCTCAGATACGTGAGCGTCCTCCTGTTCGTCCATTTCATTTCTTGGAGGACGGCCTCCTGTAAAGGTACGGACCATTTTGTCTTTCAGCAGGTTAAGTCACACAACTTCTTGTTCGGATTTCCCACAGACGGCGCCAATGTTTCGGCAGCTTCGCAGTCCAACACTGTTGAAGTCCTCAGCTGCTTCTACACCTGAAAATCCCGAGGTTGTTTCCTCGGGCAAACACTCTGACGCTTAAGTCAGCAATACTCAGTATTCTAGAGAGAGATGCTCTCAAGGAGTTATTGTAGAGAGAGAAGCGTAGAGATTAATTACCTTCTTCGGAGATGGTTTGGGGGTATTTATAGCCCCAAGTGCTGACATGTATCTGCACATGTAAGCCTCTCATTGGCCCACGTGGTGCTGCCCACGTGGGTATGTCTCCTCCTCTTGAGCCTGTGGGTGCGTAGCTGGGCCTGCTGTATGTGGCCCTAAAAGGGCGTTGGGCCTAATCCCAACAAGGAGAAGTTGATTCCATGGCATCTTCCTCCAACTCTTGATGGTGAACCACAATTTTGAGTGTATTCAAGGCTCAACGCACCATTCTGCAGCGACTGCGAACCACCTGCAATTGTAACCGGCGACGATTGGGCATCGGGTTAAGATACCAGAGCTGAACATTATATGAAACAACCTAAATCTAAGATATAACAGATCCCTTCTGAAATAGTATGAATTTCGGGTAATCATCAGGTCATCAAAAAATTTAGTTGATCAATATTTTTCACACAATTCTCAGGGATCGTTATCCAAAGCTTTTAACCCCTTTGAATACAATGTAGCTAAGACCTACCTTAATTAATAACTTTAGATTTAGAGTATGAACAATGATTAACAAGTATTGTAAAGCAGGTATAGTTCCAACAAAATATTGCATTCTATATTTTTCCTCTCTCTCGACAAGCACCATATAATAAGAACAAACCTGTGCATCCATTCCTTTGATTCCTTTAGCTGCATCATCTAAAGTGGCATATCTCACAAATCCAAAGCATTTTGAGTATCTAGAAGCACGATCGGTCACCACTCTAGTTGAAATATAAACCATAATAATGTTGTAACTTATAAGTGACACAACTATCTTATTCTCATTTCCAACTATTCTTCCCAAATGCTTACTACTTTAATCACTCTACTTTCAAAGTCACTTGCACATGCCAAGAATAAAGTATACTAGATCAGTTAACAATGAAGCAAAAATTACATGGAATATGTCTACTGTCTAGCAATTTTGAGGCAGCAATGCAAGGCTAGAAAAAAAAGGGTCCAACAATTTGATAGATCATAGGCAGAGAACAAAGTTATTACCATGAACAACTTCACCAAATTTAGAGAATGCGTCATGAAGTTTCTCTGAGGTGGTTCTTTTATTAAGCCCTGTAAATCATCACAAATAGTCAAGCCAAAGCTCCACGATAAGAATTAAGAGTTATTGACCAATGGCCGAATCTAAACAATACACCTAACAAAGACTTATATTTTTCTAAAGCAACATCGGAAAACCATTCATATCAGTAACTCTAGCTGTCTCAGCAAGAAAACTAAAAAATACATCTTTATTCCGAATCCCCAGCCATCTAAAAAATTATGATACCCAGAAATCTGAATTTATAACATTTTTTTAAAAAATTAATGAAACCCATCAAGGAAAATAGAAAGATATGCTGTAGAAAATGCAGATTACTGGATATAAAAAGGGTCGTTGAAGGCGGGTTTTCAGCAGCAGCATCAGCCCGTTCAGTACTAGCTGTTGTGGCGGCAATGGCAAGAGCAGAACGGAACTCTGAAGAGAAATTGAACCAGTGGACAATAATCGTTTCAAAATACCAGCTCTGTTACCCACGATTTCAGGAGAAGAGGAAAGGAAGGGAAAAACAAACATAAAATTTAGGATTTTTTTTTAGGGACTATATATTTTTAGGTGAGGCCTAATTGATGTGTAGAAAGGGACGAAAATCGCCACATAGTTAGGGATGGCAACAGGTTTCTATGGGGCGGGGACTCTCTCCCCATCCGCATCCTCATCAATGATGGGTACGGGGATTTTCACGAGGAATTTTGACGGAAGATAAAAAATAACCTTTATGTCTCCGTGGGTATTCGGAGTCCCCACCAAATAAAAGTTGATGCTCGTTTTTTGTTTGAGAAATTAACTGAAGATAGAACGAATTAAGAATTTAAATAAGCGTCAAAATAACAATACGATTATCGTTCGCTGCAAATGTGAGAAAGAAGCCGCGCAAGCATGTAAACAACTAAAATCACATTCTAAAAATCTTGTGAACAATCGGAGGGAAAATGAAATTGTGAATAATAAGGCCAAAAAAATAAAATCTGCTTCAGCTCAAAATAAATCATCAAGCACAGATACTCAAATACTCACAAATACTCACAACTCAAGTTGAGGCAAGCTACAAGTAGCCAATTAAAGAATAGAAACAGAGCTATGGGCACTGCCTTTCGAAGGTTGCCAAGAATGATAGGTTGAAGGGAATTGACCAATTGAAGAACAAAAACAGTGAGATACAACACAGAGGAGAGGAGACTAGAGTCTGGAAAGGAGGAATCATAGAGTAGATTTGCACATATTAGAAATTTGAAATAGTCCTTCTAATTCTAGGGTTACTAGCAAATTGGGTTAGATTTAGGCAATTAAGTTTAAGAAGATCATGGGCTAGACTGAACTATATAATTGGGTTTGGAAAAACTAAAAAAAAGAAAAGGATTGGTCAATTAATTGGGTTGGTAAGTAAAAATAAATTGTTAATATATTTAAAAATGTATATATAAATAAATTTATTTTTTTATTTTTTTATTTTATATGGACCTCCATGGCTACCCACGGGGTGGAGGAAATTCCCCATAAAATTTCATGGGAAAGAAAATGCCTCCATTCTCACCCCACGAAGAGGAATATTCTCGAAATCTCCATCCTCATGGTGGGAAAATTCGTGAAGCTCCGTGGGTCGCGGAGGAAATTGCAATCTCTACACATAGGATTAAAATCAGTGAGAATGGTCTTGGTCAGCATCTAGGTAGATAAAAAATCCTTCACAAATCACGATGTGTAAAATGTCTGAGTAGTAAACAGTTAATGAAAAAATAATGTCAATTGTCCCTTTTTTTGTTCGAGAGTGAATCCGTCCCTATTACTATATTTTGAGGGTGAATTTAGATATTTTGCCATTATCAACACTCACCACTAAGGTTTGAAAGAAGCAATGAACCCCTGCCTTGGATGATACTTGTGTATTGTGTTAGAGAAACTAATTTTGCATCTATATTTTGAGTGCAATTACTTGAGTTATATGGAAAGGGCTGTGCTACATGACAAACATCCCCTTCTGGGTTCTTGGGAGAATTTACTATTATGGTTGGGAAAGAAGATTAGAAGGAAATCCCTTCATCTCACTCTAATCAAGCTAGTTATCATGAAATGATGCTTTGTATCATGTCTAGATGGGGAGGGTCATATGATGTATTCATCAAGAAGTTTGCAAAAACCGAAGCAACAATCCTTGCTAACATTCAGTTTGAGTGCTGCCCAAAATCCTCCCTTTTACCTGGGGCTTGAATCTGCTGTAAGGCATTAGTTTATTTTTGTACTTTGGAACAGTTTTTGCCTTGTAGCAGCAAGCTGCTGCTTTATAGTACACTTAGTATCAAGGTAAATAAAATTTCACATTAAAAAAAAAAAAAAACCAAAGAGTTTAGTCCATACAAATAAACGCAGGCATTCTTAGGGAACTAGTATTAATATATCAAGATAATACAATCAAATAACTAACTTTAAGGACTTGATGTTGAAATTATCTCTTAAAATGTGTTCCATATGCCACATCTTAAAACAGATAAAAACTAACTAATTAATCTAAATAATTAATTAGAATATTGGTGATATTGTTGGAAATATTTTCTCCAACTAGAATTTCATGATTTTAGAAATTTGAGATTTTCAAAGATATATTTCTTTAATGAAAATACTATAATTATAATGCCACATGATATTGTAAACATACAATATAATATGTTATTATATAATTAATTTTTTTTATTTGAGAGTTCACTTATGATATTATATGCATCAACTCATTTAATAACATGTCATATTTCATTAAATGCTATATGAAATTATAAATTTACAATTTTACGTAATATTATAATTATAATACTATCATTTCTTTGATGGTAAAAAGTTGTTAAAAACAGTTTAATAGATAGTCCTTAGTGTAGTCTATAACAACTCCTATGTTTTTTCACTAGATCATCAACCTCCGGTATTATAAAGGGCATGGGCTAGAAGTCCTCATATTCTCCTAGTCATGTCTTTCTCTTTATCCCAAAACACCAACCTAATTTCCTCCTCCTCAAAACTTTCGTGCACTCATCATCTTGCCATCAAAGTTCTTAGTTTTGCTTAACCTTTAATTTTTTGGCAAAAACTTCTATTCCTATATGACAGTAGCACATGACAAGAGTTTTAGGTGATCGGCTTAGGTTTTATAATTTTGTGATTTAAACAACAATAGCATCAAGTTAGTAAAGTTTAATTATACTATAAATTTATATATTTTCATCTATTTTTCTAACAACTGATACCATACCAATGCATTTACAAACTTAGGGCTCTTATGCTTATCACAAAATAATCTAAAGTTCCTTTCCTGCCAAACAAAGCTTGAAGCTTTTTGACTCTCCTAGATCTTCCCTAGTTAACACAACTATGTAACTTCTGTTGCTTATCCATTCACGTGTTCCTGTTTACATCACATTTGACAATTTTCTTAGTAATGCCATGTGTTTCTAATAGAGATTTAATGACTACAATTTTTTCCGCACAATTGGGAGTTCAAAGATGATCAGTGACCATGATTTAATATAGTGGAATCTACAATAAAAAAAAATTCTAATGCAATGAATTTTTGTCATATGGCAAAAATGGAAGGGAAGAGGTTAGTTATTCTATAAAACCAGCAAAGTTATTGACATGGTGCTAAATGGTTTAGTTTAGTTTAGTTGAGAAAAACCAAAATCTGTTCCAAAAGGCATGGCTTTAGAGATTTTTAGCAACCAAAATTCTATTTCTAACAATCAGAATGACATTTGACAAAGGTTTTTTTTGCAAGGAAGGATTCAAAGCTATTCAGATGTCATTTGAGATGGTAAGCATAATAATACATAAGTTGGAGAAAATCAAGATCAAATCAAATTTTTGGCAAATAAATTTAGTTATGGAGGCCTATACATACAAGACTTCAAGGCAAAATGTAGTAGGCTTGCCCCTCTCACACAAATGCTAATTTCTATACATCTTAGCTTGAGCTAGTTTAGTTTATAGATAACTCCTACAACAATTTTGCAATTTCTTATTAGTGTATAAGTCGTTCAACTCCCAGTACAAAAAAATCCACATTTAGCAATTAAATTATTAGTTACTAAATCTTTATTTTTCATCACAAATTAGAATTAGTAATTGAATTTAAATTATTAGTAAAACTTTTGTCATTAATGCTATTAGTGACGAATTTGACATTTGTTACATAAAAGAATTTTATGATGGTGAAAAAAATTTACATTATTAATGAGTTATTTGTAACAAATTTACTTATCACAAAAAAATATTTTTTGTTACAACAATTTTCATTACAAATGTTACAATTGAGTGAAAAAAAAAGATCACAAATATAATTGTGATGAAAAATTTAGTTATTAATTATTAAAAATGATATCAAATCATTAAAATTGATATTAAATAAAAAAAAGTATATATGTAATTACAATACAAATATTGTAACAAGAATTCGGTGACAAAAATTGATATATATATATATATGTCACAAAAGTTTAATAAAAAATATTACTATTTCAACATTAATTAATTTTGATTAAAATTAATCAAATTTTATTAAAATTAATCAAACCCAAACTAAACTAAAGTTTTATTAAGTTTCACATTACATTACTCAAATAGAACTCATATAAATAAAATTAAGCACAAGTGTGAACCTAGTTTTATAGTGTAAAACTTTTTTTCGTAAATGTTTCTCACCAACGTGAGATATATTTATAATACAAAATTATTTTATATGTGTTTTTTATTGATATAAGATATATTAATTAGAAAAAATTCAAATAAAGGTGAACTTTTTGTGGAGATATAAAATGACTATAAGACACAAAAAATAGTGTAGTGAATTTTAATTATTTACCTTTATAAATTTTTCTTTCATTCTAGAAGAAATATTGTTCCATTAATTTTTTAATCAATTAGTAGCTTAATATACCATTATGTAGACTTAAAAATTAACTCATTTCTACAAATTATATAGGTTATGTGATGAAAAATCAAATTATACTCTTTACTTTTTTTTATATATTATGTGTTTTTATTTTAGGATAATGGATGTATAATTAAAAAGTTTTTGGCCCTGCATTTTATTTTTATTATTTCACTTTTCTACGATAATGCAGTGGGAGTGGTACTGTGGTACGCTTCTGCTTTGAATTCTGTGACAATTCTAAACGCAGACTCGCAGAGTATCAACACATGTAAAGGTAGTGTCGACATACAATCCGTGTCGGGTTTTGATTCCCTTAGCAGTTTCAATAATGATAGGTGCTTAATCTTTTCCTTTATGAACACTTTGATCCCAAAATGTTTAATTTATTATTGTTGTATAGTCTTTAAACTTTTAAAATATTTTAACTTAAATCCTAAAACTTAAGTTATTTGCATTTAAATCTTTTTAAAAAAATTTCAATTTTCCTATTGGCATACCTAACTTTTTCCATCCCTTTTCATATTTTTGACAAAAAAATCTCAATTTTTTTATCATGTATGCAAGTTGTTAAGTGTACTATTTGAAGTATATTATTTGT